GCCGCCAGTATATGACGGAACCTACCGGCGCATTGGCGCCATACTGAAGGACCGGTATAAAGGAAGGCCTCCCCAGGCTTCCTGAATACTGGGCTCTTCAGCAAGCAATAGCTATCACAATCTACCAGTACCTTTCGGCTACTACTCCGTTACTCTATTGTTCTATTCCAGCGATAATACTCCTGTGCTTGTAACGGCTCGTCACAAATGGTCTCCCGGTCGTCCATATCTACACAGACCCATCAGATATTTCGGTTACGCCAAAAGTCGCCTGCATACGAGCCTTCGCTTGATGACGATCGTGGTCGTGGCGGGGGTTATAACAACTCCCACAATAACCCCAACAACCCGCCACGGTCACAGGACAGAATCTGATGAGGAGTGGCCGTGCCATGGAGGTTCGCTGGTTGTCACCAACCCAACTACTAGTCAAGCGATAAGGAAATGAGCTAGATCGGTAGACATAATATTCGGGCATCCTCTCAACTTGCTGCGCGTGCCTTGACAATTGTGATATTGTGAAGTACATTGACGATGGGGTATGAAAATGAACCAAAAGTTTCACGATTACCGTCGTTAACAATAACGTGTTCGAGGTCACACGAAGGGTAGGCTCTGTCTGTCTTAAAACCCGAGCGCTGGTATGCTGGTCAAGTGGCCTGACTACTAGGCCCTCAAGTGCTTCACTCAACTTTGGCAAGGTGCGCCGCGCCCCTCTGTTTGGCTTGACTTGAAGCAGGATACGATGCAAAATTGAATTGCATGACGAGATAGGAGGTGTAGATCCTGTGTGTCTTCATTTGGTACGGACTTCAGGATCTATCGATGTGTTTCTTTCCCCCAGCGCTGCAGCCGAAGTGAACAAAAGAGTGTTGGGGAATGGACCAAGGTCTCGAAACCTGGGACGGTCTAGGCCACTGGACTAGGGGGAACATTGAATGCCCATGTTGTCATCTTTAGGTTCACGATGCCGCTACTCACAGTGAAGTGCTTCAGCCTTGTAGAGTCAACCTGAAGTCTTGCCTAGAGAGAGGATTCAACCCGAGCATGGTGAAGAAGCACCATGCGTCACTTGACCCTATATAGTGTTCAGGTTCAAGGTCGACAGGCGATCTGGGGACATTCACGCAGTAGAACCTGAGAATAAAGGTCGCCATTAATGCCCATTCTAGGCCCCTCTGTCCTCTCAACGATCTTCCTCATTTCCTGCGCTCCTCCTGGGAACCAGCAATCATTCTTTGGCATCGCTCGCGCAGTCCCAGGACTGAAATCTGCTTTTGAGGGCTGGTCGTCTTGTCGACACTTTCGCGGTTCGCTTCGCGTTGGCATCCTTTGCGACTTTTTTTCAAGGCATTATTCTTTCTCGTCGTTATTGCCCCAATGACCCAGACACTGGCCAATGGCCACACATCCAACAGATGTAACCAACAAGATGCGTCCAACCGAGAACAACGATCGGAAGAAGGAGATGTCGGCCCTGTGGGTTCCCTTCCAGACTGCTTGATTAGGCTCCAGATTTCTGGCCTCATCCCTCTGCTAATCCGTTCGCACCACAGAACAATTCGGTCGGCTGTTGCCAATAATGTCAAGAAAGTCGTCGAGGAAGAGATGGATCAAGGCCGGCGTGTTAGGTTCGTGACTTGAGCTGATGATCCCCTCTACAAAGACCGACACTAACCCAAACTCCGTCACAGCTCGTCTGTCCTCGCTCGTATGTTGAGCAATGCCGACAAAGCGTGGGCTGAGTATTGCCACAAAACCGGCATTGACCGGGACACCCCCTTGGGCACCCCTCTTCTTCCTGACGACGGATCGGGCGAAGAATATGAGCGTGCTGGATGTCAGTATATGACCTCGACAAAAGACAAATTTCCATTGCATGCTGACGCTTCTCGAAGGGTGCTGCCTGCCAAAAGACCGGACTGCTGCTTCGTTCGTCTGTCAGCATGGCAGATACTATCCGCTACAGCGACAGTCGAAGAGGAAGGAGGCCACGCAGCCGGCACTCGATACCTGGTCACAACCGTATGCTACAAGTAGGCACTCATAGACGCGACGGACACATCTAAATAGTGAAGGGCTGAGCTGATGGATATTGAATCCGTAGTTACCCTAGCTGGCACCACGACCCAGGTGCAGAGACCCAATGCCCGGTACCGATGATGCGCGCTTTGCGATCAGTGCTTTGCGGCGTTGTTGAGCAACCAGAAGAAGCTCAAGGGAAGTAAGGCTCCATACTTGTCTCGACGTTTACTGATATCAGAATGTGATGGGGAGCACCACTGTCGACAGAAGGCCGGTAAATTTCTAGATGCTGTCGCTTGGAGAACCTCCTGGCTTTGTCGCCATTGACAGGCGTCCCGGGATGACGGCATTGGATTCAGTACTTCGTGGGCATACCATGCAGATGACCGGTTCAATAATTCCGTTCCATATTGGGATAATAGCGAGGAGGTTCCAAATTCACAAGCTCGTCATCGGTTGTCTTGTTGATGTCCTTGTTCGGCTATGGGGTATGTCGATGCCATCGTTCGTCGTCCTTGATGGCATTTGCTGTCGATGTTCCTCGTTTGCATTTCGTCGATGGAGGTTAGTTGCTTTCTCGTAACTCAATGGCCTACTTGAAAAGCTATCACATATTATCGGATAATTGTTGCGCGCATCCTTACACAAAGATGCTGATGTTGATGATGTCGATGAAGAACGGAAAAAAGGACGAAGTCGGGCGACAACAACAGAAGCGACGTCGAAAGTGGGCCTCTCACGTGAAGATAACGCACCATCGATAACTTTATTTCACGCTTTTCCCGTGGGGTTCGGTGGGTTCCAGGGGCTACAGTCCACTGGCACCCACTGAAACCCACTGGAGCCCCTCTTCGTTCCGGGGCGTCCCCCCCTCACTGCAGCCAAAATTTCGGCTGCTGTCACGTCATTGGGTCCGGTCGAGGTCCGACGGGAGCGGAAACGAGGGACCCATTCCTGCTGCTGCTCGCTTCCATGGGTGAACGGAATTACTCACACCATATCATCCTTCCTCACTCTTTCACTCCTTATTCTCACTTTCAAGATCCGATCCGGGACAAAAAGAGTCGACACTTCACTTCCCCTTACCCATCCGCCCTCCCTCTCACTCGCCCGCTATGTCTTCCCCCGCAGCAGAGTGCCGCATCCTCGTCTTCGCCTCCGGCAACGGCTCCAACTTCCAGGCGTTGGTCGACGCCCTGGCCACCGGCAACATCCCCAACGCGCGCATCACCCGCCTGATCGTGAACCGGGGGAAAGCCTACGCGACAACTCGCGCCGAGAAGGCGGGCATTCCCTGGGAGTACTTCAACCTCATCTCCAACGGATTCCAGGCGCGCGGCGAGACGGACCCGGAGAAGCTGCAGGAGGCGCGCAACAAGTACGATGCCGCGCTGGCCGAGAAGGTGCTCGCGCTGGACGAGAAGACGGAACGCCCCCATCTGATTGTCCTGGCGGGCTGGATGTATATCTTTGGCAAGCACTTTTTGGCGCCCATTGCCGAGAAAGGGATCAAGGTTATTAACTTGCATCCGGCGCTTCCCGGTAGGTGGTGGTTTGACTATCGGTTGAGGGGCTACGAGATGGTTCGCGCTGACCTTATATGCGCTCCGGTTAGGCAAGTACGACGGTACACACGCCATTGAGAGAGCGTACGCCGATTTCCAAGCTGGAAAGCTGGAGAACAACAAGACCGGTATCATGGTGCACTACGTTATTGAAGCCGTTGACCAGGGTGCGCCCGTTCTTGTGCGCGAGATCGAGTGCCAGGAGGGTGAGAGTCTCGAGCAGCTAGAGGAGAGGATACACTCTCATGAGCATTCTCTCATCGTTGAGGCTACCGCCAAGATTGCTGGCGAGATTATTGCCTTTCAGCAGGCCCAGCAATGATCGGTATTGGGAGTTGAAGATAAGGTCGTAAAGCGATGATGATGAGAGACGGAAAACACATTAAACCGAAATAAAAAGGACACAAAATGAGGGATTGGGCCCAGTTCAACATCACAGGTTCAACAGGATAAAAGGTATGCAAACGACAAGGCAAAAAAGGACTCAAACGGAAAAGGACAAGGTTTGGGGCGCATCGTGAACGGCAAAGGGCTTTCTGCATTTCAACACCAAACACAGCTAGAACAGGGCGCGGGGAAAACAGCGTGATGCGATGAGCTATGCTTTAAAAGCTTCCCCTAAAGATCAGAACAGAGACGCGCATTCAAGACGGAGGACATTGCTTCTCGGCCGTGTTCAGGACCGTGGGACAAAAAGCCACAGCATGCATGTCGCGATGGATAAGCGATGAGTCACAAGAACGCAGGGATGGCTACTCGAGCCGGGCGATGTGAGTGAGCTGGGCAAAAAGCAAAAAAAAACATACAACACCAGG